CCCCTCCCCCATGGGTTCCTGTTAAGTTTCTCAGGATCCACATAAGAGTGAAACCATATGGTATCTGTCTTTCTCTGTATGGCTTATTTCACTTAGCATCACACTCTCCAGTTCCATCCACGTTGCTACAAAAGGCCATATTTCATTTTTTCTCATTGCCACGTAGTATTCCATAGTGTATATAAACCACAATTTCTTTATCCATTCATCAGTTGATGGACATTTAGGCTCTTTCCATAATTTGGCTATTGTTGAGAGTGCTGCTATGAACATTGGGGTACAAGTGCCCCTATGCATCAGTACTCCTGTGTCCCTTGGATAAATTCCTAGCAGTGCTATTGCTGGGTCATAGGGTAGGTCTATTTTTAATTTTCTGAGGAACCTCCACACTGCTTTCCAGAGTGGCTGCACCAATTTGCATTCCCACCAACAGTGCAAGAGGGTTCCCGTTTCTCCACATCCTCTCCAGCATCTATAGTCTCCTGATTTGTTCATTTTGGCCACTCTGACTGGCGTGAGGTGATATCTGAGTGTGGTTTTGATTTGTATTTCCCTGATAAGGAGCGACGCTGAACATCTTTTCATGTGCCTGTTGGCCATCCGGATGTCTTCTTTAGAGAAGTGTCTATTCATGTTTTCTGCCCATTTCTTCACTGGGTTATTTGCTTTTCGGGTGTGGAGTTTGGTGAGCTCTTTAAAAAATATGGAATGCTTCACGAATTTGCGTGTCATCCTTGCGCAGGGACCATGCTAATCTTCTCTGTATCGTTCCAATTTTAGTATATGTGCTGCCGAAGCGAGCACACACTGGGTCCTTTTAAAGGGGGCAAATGCGGGGCGCCTGGGTGGCGCAGTCGGTTGGGCGTCCGACTTCAGCTCAGGTCCCGATCTCGCGGTCCGTGAGTTCGAGCCCCGCGTCGAGCTCTGGGCTGACGGCTCGGAGCCTGGGGCCTGTTTCCGATGCTGTGTCTCCCTCTCTCTCTGCCCCTCCCCCACTCGTGCTCTGTCTCAAAAATAAATATAAAAAAAAAAAACATTAAAAAAATAAATTCCGACTTCAGCCAGGTCACGATCTCACGGTCCGTGAGTTCGAGCCCCGCGTCGGGCTCTGGGCTGACAGCTCGGAGCCTGGGGCCTGTTTCCGATGCTGTGTCTCCCTCTCTCTCTGCCCCTCCCCCATTCGCGCTCTGTCTCTCTCTCTGTCCCCAAAAATAAATAAACGTTGAAAAAAAAAATTTAAAAAAAAATAAAGGGGACAAATGCGAAAACACAGTGTGCGCAGACGGGCTTTGTTATTTGTTGTTGAACGACTGATATTGACTCAAAGACATCAATTTGTTTGTATCCCCGGGGGAACCCCCCCCCATATTCTGTTTTCGATTTCTACACTGGTTTATGTACGAATGTGGGTTCTGAGCCTCTCCGATGAAGCTACTTTTAGAAGCTGGAGGAGAACAAAGAGGGTCCTACAGTAGGAACAAAATACCAGTGGCAGGGACCAAAGTGGTGGTCACACCCACCCTGGGCCTCGGTTTCCTTATCTGAGGGTAGAGACCGAATAGTTCCCAAGATCCCCTGCAGCCCTGTGACAAGCTGGGGAACTGTCTATTGAGCCTGGCTCTCAGTGTGTGGAAAGTCAAGCAGAAAAGGGGCCGAAATGGCAAGAAAGGGGTTTTCTTCACGTTAGAAATGGCTGTCCAAGTCACCTGATGTCTTTTTCCCTTTCTTTTCTTTTTTTTTTTTTTTTTAATTTTTTTTTTTTCAACGTTTATTTATTTTTGGGACAGAGAGAGACAGAGCATGAACGGGCGAGGGGCAGAGAGGGAGACACAGAATCGGAAACAGGCTCCAGGCTCTGAGCCATCAGCCCAGAGCCCGACGCGGGGCTCGAACTCACGGACCGCGAGATCGTGACCTGGCTGAAGTCGGACGCTTAACCGACTGCGCCACCCAGGCGCCCCTTTCCCTTTCTTTTCTAGTTGGCATGAGATAGGGACTGGCTGCTTGGGGTGTCATAAAGTGACAGGAGAAAGACTGGCAAGAATCATCCAGAAAAAGTTCTGGCCCCGCACTGCCCGGAAGCCCTGAAGGGTTGGAAATAGAGCCAGGTGCAGTCATGACACCTTTATATACCCTAGGGAAATAATCAGGATGAGCTTAAAGTTTGGCCTGTGAACCCAACCCACTTAGCCTCAGCAAAGGCGTTTGGGATTCATGGGTTAAGGAGGAAAACGATAAATTGATCACAACAACTCTTGCTGACGGGGCACAGGCTTCCGCCGGGTCTCATGGAGAATTTCACCCATGTGATCCTGGGTGACGCCGGCCACACCGCTGTGGGTACAGCTATAACATGCTATTTCTCTGTGAGAAAGATGGCGCCTGGAGATAACACTTGAAGGTCACGCAGCTCAGTAGCAGTTGAGCTAGAAAACGAACCCCGGACCGAGTGAAAAGCCGATGCCCAAAGCCCGCGACCGTCGTTTCTGTGCAATAGGACCCCTCTCAGATGTTTGATTGGTAGAACTGTTTCTGAATTTGATGAGTATATAAGGATGAGGAATTTGTTCTTTAATATTTTAATTTTAAACGCTTTCCCTTCTATGGAGAAATGATGTTAAAGAAGAAATGGACCACGTTCTCGCTGACGGATGTATTTGCATTTCTGGGCAGCTGTTTGAATCACAGGACCCCACCCTAACACTGCTCCCACCTGGTGACAATGACCATGAGCTGTCCCCAGAGCCTCAGAACATAGGCAACTCCTCTCCCTGGCCTGGCACAGGCCGCCCACGATATGGTGGTAGCATAACAGTATTCTCGTCTCTTGTAAAAGTCGTGCTAAATGAAGAATAACTTGCTGGGGGGAGAGTCTTAGGTCAAGTTAGAAGATTAATCAAATTGGGGGCACTTGGGTGGCTCAGGCGGTTGAGTGTCCGATTCTCGATTTTGGCTCAGGTCGTGATCTCACCGTTTGTGAGTTCAAGCCCCACACAGGGCTCTGTGCCGACAGTGCAGAGCCTGCTTGGGATTCTCTCTCTCTCTCCCCCCCCTCACCCACTCACATTCTCTCTCTTTCTCGCAAAATAAATAAATAAATATTTTTTAAAAGATCAATCAGATTTGCAGCATTATCATTACCGTGGAGCTAGTAAATGCTAGCAATTCTTAGCCTGAGCATGGACGACGCCTCCGTTAATCCAGACGACAGACAAGTCCTTTAATGCATTCTTGAGTGATACGTGTTTTCAAAGAGTGTTGTCGTTAGCCAATCACAACTGCAGGGGCGACTGATGTTCTAGGTTTGTATCTCTGGTGCTATAAGATAGCAAGATTGGTTAGCAGGTCAAGGTAGGAGGTGACAGGTGAGGTTCAATCCTAGAAAATATGTGTCCACCTGGTGACCTTTAGAAAAGTACATCTGTAAAGGAACATTTGAGGAAGTGTTTCACCGAGACTCTCAGGGTGAGAAGGGGGTTCCTGATGCCTCAAATCATCTTTCCGTCGTCTGAGTCAGGGCCAGTGTAGACCATGAGGGTTTGGTTCCATGCTGAGTTGCCAGAGTCATCTTCTGACCACGTGACTCCACCAGTTAAAACCTTTTGGTGGTGCCGTCTCTCCTTCAGGGGTCCTCGAACTTTAGTAATACGTGGACCCATTCCAAAGGAACAAGAAGTCTTTGGGGATCCTTAGTATTGGCTTAAATTATTTTAATTCTAATTTTACCTAAACATGAGCATACATAAATCTACATAGATTTATAAAGTCAAAACAAATGTGGTTATAAAGTAACCACAAAAATGGGGCACCTGGGTGGCTCAGTCAGTTAAGCATCCAACTTTGTCTCAGGTCATGATCTCACGGTTCATGGGTTGGAGCCCCGTGTCGGGCTCTGTGCTGACTGCTCAGAGCCTAGAGCCCGCTTCGGATTCTGTGTCTTCCTCTCTCTCTGCCCCTCCCCCTGCTCACGCTCTGTCTCACTCTTTCTCAAAAATAAAGAAACATTTAAAAAATTTAAACAGAAGGGGGCATCTGCCTGGCTCAGTCAGTGGCGCATGCGACCCTTGAGCTCGGGTTTGTAAGCTCGAGCCCCATGATGGGTGTAGAGAATACTTAAAAATAAAGTCTTCAGAAAAAAATAATAAAGTAACCATAAAACTACAAAACAAACAAGGTCTGAATTAACAACATTAATTTAATGTGATTAACAGTTGACTGGAGCCAGTTGTGGCTCATGATGTGACCAGGAGGTTGCTTGCTTTAAGGATGTTCTTTTGTGTTTCGTTTACCTGCGTGACACGGGCTCTCTCTTGCCTTAATTTTCCTATAACTATATTGTTTGCTCCCCAGAAATGTCTTGGTTGATCTTATCCCTTGACATTCACTTGGGGCAAAGGTATCTTTGGCCGGTGACGCCATCTCTGTTCTCTCAATCATATAAAATACTTCCGGAATGCTCGCTTTACGCCAAGCGCTGTTCAAGTTGCACAGGATGTGGAGCAGTAGACAAGAAAAAACGTCTCTGTTGTAGGAGATCACAGGGGGGTAGGGGACACAGCCTGGGAGACTCTAGTAAGCTGCATTAACGACCCCTGGTATATCAGGTCCAACTGGGACTTTGCAGATGTGATGGCGGCGATCACGAGATTGGGAGGCAGGGAGATTATATGGGCCCTAAATGTGGTCACGTGTACCCTCCAAAGAGGAGGATAGAGGGACACTCGCAGAGGAGACAGCGACACGAAGATGGAGTGGGGAGACATTTGAAACCGCTGATGTTGTTGGGAGGGGCCACAAGCCAAGGAGAGCCAGAAGCCAGGAGGGGTCGGAGGAGACAAGAAATGGATTCTCCCCTAGAGCCTCCAGAGGGAGTGTGACCCTGTCCACACCGTGATTTCAGCCATACTGGTTTGGGGCTTCTTGTCTCTAGAATGACGCAAGAGTAGATTGTTGTTGTTTTGAGCCACGATATTTGTGCAATTTGTTGCAGCAGCCATCGGAAACAAATCTGGAGCCAGGTTAAGTAAATATGTGTATAATTGCAGCGTGGATATATATAGGGAATAAAAATAAAGCCGGGATCGGAGGGTAACTGGAGTAGGGGTGAGTTTGCAAATATTTGCAGGCAAAGGGATGGTGTGGCAGAGGTCTCAAGACTGGAACGAGCTTAGTGGGCGGGAGAAGCAGCAAGAAGACCGGTGAGACAGGAATCAAGATCAAGGTGGGAGGGAGATGGGAATGAGAACACAGAGGAAGGTAGCAGCCAGGTCATGCAGGGTCTTCAAGGCCCAGGGGAAGGACTGGATTTTATTTTAATTTTTTTAACATTTATTTATTATTGAGAGGCAGAGTGAGACAGAGCATGAGCAGGGGAGGGGCAGAGAGAGGAGGAGACACAGCATCCGAAAGAGGCTCCAGGCTCCGAGCCGCCAGCACAGAGCCCGACACGGGGCTCCAACCCATGAAGCGTGAGATCATGACCTGAGCCGAAGTCGGACACCCAACCGAGTGAGCCACCGAGGCGCCCCGGATTTTATTTTAAAAACCATGTAACGTAATCTGACCTGTGATTTAAAAGAGCACTCTGGGGGCGCCTGGGTGGCGCAGTCGGTTAAGCGTCCGACTTCAGCCAGGTCACGATCTCGCGGTCCGTGAGTTCGAGCCCCGCGTCGGCCTCTGGGCTGATGGCTCGGAGCCTGGAGCCTGTTTCCGATTCTGTGTCTCCCTCTCTCTGCCCCTCCCCCGTTCATGCTGTGTCTCTCTCTGTCCCAAAAATAAATAAATGTTGAAAAAAAAATTAAAAAAAAAAAATAAAAGAGCACTCTGGACGTTGCATGGAGACTGCAGGGCAGCAAGAAGGAGAGCAGAGAGAGACCAATGGATCCATCAGGAAGCTACTGTACAGGTCCAGGGAGTAGGAGCTGGTGGGTTTGATGCGGGGGTTAGTGGAGGAGATGGGAAGAAATGGTCCAGTTTGAGATAGACAGTTTTAAAGACAGATGGTACCACTCTGTGGGATATGGGAGAAAGAACAGAATTTGGGATGGCAAAGATTTTGTCCTGAGCAACTGATACAACAGGGATACATGACTGAGCACTTGAGATGAGCCTTGTGCAAAGGAGAAACGAGTTTTTTCTTTTCTTTTTCCTTCCTTCCTTCCTTCCTTCCTTCCTTCCTTCCTTCCTTCCCTCCTTCCTGTCCTTTCTCGCCTTTCTTTCATGGCTCGAAACAACAGAAATCAATCCTCTCATAGTTCTGGAAACTAGAAACCCAATATCAAGGTGTTGGCAAGGTCCTTCTGGAAGCCCCGAGGGGGGATCTCTGCCATGGCTACCAGCAAGCCCTGAGTTCCCAGCCCGAAAGTGCATCACTACAGTCTCTGCCTCGCCTTCACACGGCTTTCTCGCCCTGCCTCTCCGCTGTGTGTCTGTGTCTCCTCTTCCGCCTTCTATAAGGACATCCGTGGCTACCGCGTGGGACAACGCAGTTCTAGAAGTTACACCGAGTTACGGAATATTTGTCCCGAAAGGGACCTACACGTTGACCAGACGCGAGCCTCTCAGTAACAGAGGACGAGCCTGAGGCCAGGCGACGCGAACCACCTCATCCCAGGGCCCAGCAGCTCCCATGCTGCATCTTGAGCCAGAACCCAGGCCGGTGGAAGGACTTGGTTCCTTGTTTCCCACGCGGAACGGTCGGTGCTCAGGGCTTGAGGTCGTACTGAGGAAGTCAACTGACTGGAAACGCTGTATTAGCGTCTCTTATTTTTTCACATTCCTGCAAAGTTTGGTTTGGTGTGGGGCACCTTCTCTTAAAAATCAGGAGAATCGGGGCGCCTGGGTGGCGCAGTCGGTTAAGCGTCCGACTTCAGCCAGGTCACGATCTCGCGATCCGTGAGTTCGAGCCCCGCGTCGGCCTCTGGGCTGATGGCTCAGAGCCTGGAGCCCGTTTCCGATTCTGTGTCTCCCTCTCTCTCTGCCCCTCCCCCATTCATGCTCTGTCTCTCTCTGTCCCAAAAATAAATAAACGTTGAAAAAAAAAATTAAAAAAAAAAATCAGGAGAATAAAGGCCTTCTTAGAAGTCCGCGCACACAGGTGCACAGCGCCCAGAGGGACCAGGCGGAGTCATGGCTCCGTAAGTCAGGCTGCCCGTTCCCTCCAGGGCTGGTGAACAGGCTCCTCTCCTGCCACATCTGGGCTTTCCTGGCCAGCATCAGTTACGCTTGCTACCTGGTTCATCCGATCCTCATCATGCTCTACAACGGCCTTCAAGAAACGCTCATTCACTACAGCGACACCAACATGGTGAGTGAGTCCCCACTCTCCGCTCTCGTGTGGCTCCACTGTCCCTTCTCTGCTGGAGCCACCACGCAGCCCACTGGCTCGGGGAGAGAAGCTCGCTTTGTTGTGGGGGCTGCTAGGGGCCTATTGTCCTTTGCTTTCTTTGAGGGAGGGCTTTGGGATAATATCTTTCTTCGATTTTATTCATCCTATTTATTTTAAGTTGATTTTTATGTATTGGTTTTTTTTTTTTTTTACATTTATTTTTGAAAAACAGAGTGAGACAAAGCGTGAACGGGGGAGGGGCAGAGAGAGTAGGAGACACAGAATCCGAAGCAGGCTCCAGGCTCCGAGCAAGTGGTCAGCACAGAGCCTGATGCGGGGCTCGAACCCACGAACCGCGAGATCATGACCTGAGCCGAAGTCGGACGCTCAACTGACTGAGCCACCCAGGCGCCCCTATTTTTATGTGTTTTGAGAGGCAGTTAGAGAGCCGGTGGGGGAGGAGCAGAGAGAGAGGGAGAGAGAGAATCCCCCGCAGGCTCTGCACTGTCAGCACCGAGCTCGATGCGGGGCTCGAACTCACGAACTGTGAGATCGTGACCCGAGCCGAAGTCAAGAGTGGGATGTTCAACTGGCTGAGCCGCCCAGGCGCTCCTACCTTAGTTTTAACGTTCAGGGCTGGAGGTCTTACAGATCTAGATCATACGGCCGGGATGATGCCCTTTAAAACCAAACATAGTACGAATCTGGTAGTAGGATTGCATTTACTCTGCCCCTCTTTGTCTCCAGTTCTACCTTTTCTCTGGACACTGTTTGCTGACCATCATCACTGGGCTGGCCCTGACACTGTTCATTGAGAAACCATGTCAGGAGCTGAAGCGGTACCTGTTGGGACCAGTGCCTGCTGGGCCATGAACATTCTGGTAAAACCCTAGAGAATGACTGGGTTTTTTTCTGCTGGCAATGAGCTCAAGTAGACAGGGGCTCATTTATGTAACAAACGCTTGTGTTCCCGAAAAGCGGTGTGAATTCTGATTTGGTGAATGCTTAAGATATACAAGTTCTCTCTGTGCTTAATGCAAAAAGAGTTCTGAGTGTTTATTTACTATATAAAAGAGTTCTGTGATAGCCTGTTGGGTAGCACAATAATCACTCTCTGATGTACCTTTTTAGAAAAAAACAAAAAACAAACAAACAAAACCAAAGAAAAACAATCTAGATTTGTGATATCTTGTTCGGCATGTACTTTCTGTACCAATGATCAGAGGAAAACATCAAATCTAGTGAGTTTAATGCAACTTGGGTTATAATCACATTTCTTGGTAAAGTCACAGTATGTAGTTTTTCACATCATCGTTATCTTTGTGTTATCATGATACCTTTGAGGACTTGTAACTTTATTTCGGAGCCTCAGGATTGTGTGACCCACTAGCGTGCCCAGTTCATGGGTGTGTCGTTACAGGCCTTCCAAACATTATCTATTTTACAACACGGTCGCTGTTATGGGTTGAATGTGTCCACCGAAAAAGAAACAAAGTCCTAATCCCGTCATACCTTAGAACGTGACCTGTTTGGGGGGGGGGGGGGGGTAGTGTTCTTACAGAAGTAATCAAGTTAAAATGAGGTCATGGGGGGAGGTGGCTCTAATCCAGTATGACTGGTGTCCTTGTAAAACAGGGAAATCTGGACATAGAGACAGATATGCACAGAGGGTGGAAGACGTGAAAACAGACAGCAATAAGGCAGCCATCTACAAGCCAAGGAACGCCAAAAATTTCGGGCAGACACAGAAGCTAGACGAGGCAAGGAAGGACTCTCCCCTAGAGTGTCAGAGAGAGCAGAGCCCTGCTGACACCTCGAGTTAGGACTTGCAGCCTTCCAGAACAGTGAGATGATTTACTGTTGTAAATCAGCCAGTTGTGCAACCCTAGCAAAGAATACGGTCCCTCAACAAAACTCCCAACAGAGAAGGACGAGATCCAATCAATGGCTCCCATCCCAACTCTTCGGTTTCCAGCAACAAGGCCTGGAAATGGAGAGATTTATAAGGCCAGGGTGTCCAGGCTCTCAGGCTTGTGTTCCTTCCCGGGTGTGTGATTTCACGTTAACCATCCCTACTTGCATTTGCGTAACATCACTTAAAACAACGCTCTCTTTGTGTACTCAATAAATAAAGGGTTTATCAGCAATCACGGGGCTATGAGGAGCTAATTAGCACAGAAGACTCCCCATCTCTGTACTGTGTCTCTCCAAGCGGATCTGCTGAGACCACCACTGGAGGGTGGGGAGGGCTGTAAGCCTCAAATCTTTTGCCAGGGCAACCGACAGCGAACCTTGTCCTTTTCCACCCCACCCTGGGGACCCTCATCTCCCGGAGGCTTGGTCTGTTCTCCTGGTAGAACCTGACCTGAGCCAGGAGACAAGTCCCTGCCCGGCATGTTCAGTGTCTGTATCAGAATGCACCAAGTTGGGTTTTTGGGTAACCTCCAAGTTCATGGAGTTCTTTGGGAGCCCTCTGGTGGCTGATTTGGCACCTCTGACTTAATTAGGCCTCAGAGGAGATCTTGAGGGCGTGTGACCTTTGCAGGAGGAACCCTACAGTCCGGATGGATGCTGGTGGGAAATGACTCCCCCGCCAACACTGATGGGCTGTCAAATTGCCAAGTGCTTCTGGTTATGAGGCTAGAAACTTGGGGCCATGGAAATAGCTTTCATAACGACTAGTGACATTGCCTTTGAAAGTTTCTTTTTGTTTTTTTTTAATAAGGAAAAAAAAATACCCTCTCCACGCTTGCAATTTCACAAAATATAAAGTAGGGATAGAGAAATCCAATTTTGTTCTGGCTTTTGTTTCGATCTGGAATTCCCGAGGGGTTTAAGATTTATGGAGTATGTGGAACTTCTTTCAATCCCGAAGCAAACTGTAAAAAAGCATATGACATTTACGAGACAGCTGGAAATTTGAACACGGCCTGGATATTCGATGATACTAAGGACTCACTGATGTTTTAATGTGGTAGTGGTATTGCGGTCATGTTTTTGTTTTTGTTTTTTTAAGAGGCTTTATCTTTCAGCTGCATCCTGAAATATTTATGGACAGAATGATAAAATCTGGTATTTGCCTCAAAATAATACCAGGAGGACGAGGGAGACCAGAAACAAGATTGGCCATGTCGTGATACTTTTTGAAGCTGGGTGATGGGTATGTGGGGGCTCATTATACTGGGTTGGTTTTTTTTCTCTATTTTTGTATATAATAAACTGAAGCAAATTTCTAGAGGCGGCGACATCAGCATAGAGAATTGATGGGTGACTCCTCTAATTCTCCCTAAATTCTGAAATTCATGTTTCGTCCCCACATACCAACCCGGGGACAGGTCACATTGACAGTATAGTCACCCCCGCAGGTCTAAAGGAACTCCAGCCGCCCTTAAGTTCCTCCCGACTGGTGTTGGGAGAGTCCAGGGATATCTCGCTGGTCTTGTAAACGCCTGGACCCTCCCCGCTGCCCCTCCCCCACCCCGCCTGGCTCCGTGCTCAGCCTACTGCGTCCATCCAGAGCACAAATGATCTCCATAAATGTCACAAGCAGGTAAGTCCCCTCTGCCCCGCCTTGTGCCACCTGTGCTCCCTCATTGAGGCTTTGATGCAGTGCTGCTAAGCGCTCAGCATGTTGTTCCAGAAACTGCTCTTGCAGATTTTCCTTATTCTAATAGAGGTCGTTCTCCCTTGGGTGCCCCATGAGCCGATGGGCGCTGGGATGGACAGTGACAATTGTTTGCCCTTTGCATTTGTGCTGTTCACCACTAGCCCTGATCACCATGGCTGGCACACAGTAGGTGATCAATAAATGGCGGCTGAGGCAGTGATGGAATTAACCCCTTCTTTTTTTAGGTGATTCCTTTTCTGGGAGGCTTCTCGTGCCTACAGGCAGGCACCTCTCAACCAGGTCTTAGATATGTTCAGTTTTGTAAGACTCTTATCCCCAAATGGCCCAAGCAGGCCCCCTTCCCGGGAAGGTCAAAGCTGAGAGGCTCCCAAGTACTTTTAAAAAGGTGAGAAGCCTTTAGAACTAGAGTCCGTAGACCCCACCTGGGATGGAAAACAATGCTGTGCTCATATCGCGGAGGCAGCCATTTTGGGTGGCCGCCGAACATGCCTATTCCCTCCTCCCTTGCCAAACCAAACTGACGTTCCAGCATCAACACTGGGGAGGCCCCATACTTCGTAAAAGCCAATTTTGGCTCCCTCGGTGCTCTTGCCGGTGATTGGCCCAAGTGTGGTCATGTGACCCAGCTCTGCCCAATGAGACCTAAGGAGGCGTGTGCCGGGGACTTCTGGGAAAGACTGTCCTCGCGGGAACGGGTGGGGGTTGGGGAGCGTCAAGGAGAAAGTCCTTCTCGTGGTCGCGTCCCTCAGCCTTGTGAGGATGTGGTGCTGTTTGGGGTTGTGGCCGCATCCTGTGAAAATGGAGGCGGGCCAGGCTGGCACACGGAGGCTGACAGAGGGACTGAGGGAGGCCAGGCAGAGTGAGGGTGGTGACACTGTACTGAAACCAGAACGATTAAGGGACTGTCTGGACATTGTATCCTGAGGGCTCGCGGGGCTCGACTCTCCGGGCAGAAGATTGGAAGCCGCTTCTCTGGGGATTCTGACGGGCCTGAGACCAAAGCCCGAAAACCATTGACATAAAAGGCTGTCCCCAAAACGTCCTCACCCGGTGCCCTCCGGTGAAGCTCGGAGGTGACAGGTTCGAATCACAGGGTCAAAGCAGGGTGACCAACGCATCCCCATGTGGCCGGGACTTCGTCGGTTTGGGCACCGAACCCTCCCCCGTCCCGACGCCCCTCAGTCGTGGGCAGACAGGGACGCGCCACTGTCCTTGCAGAGGTGAGAGAAGGGGCTGCCTCCACTGAAGATGCCGGGACAAAGAAGTGACTCCTCTTTCGTTCAGTCGTTCAGTCAAGAAGCGAATGTTTCTAACGACCACCTATTGGCAAGGACTCCAGGACTACTGATGCGAATGTCAGGCATCCTGTTGTGAAGGAGCTTCCGGAAATCTCTTAGGGCGGCCAGAGCAGCCAGGAATGGCCCAGAGTTGCTTTGGACTAAGGAAGGGGCCAAGTGCTGGGTATCTCAGCAGATTGTGCAGTACAGATAGATGATTATCACTTAAAATGGCGGTTGACTTTTAAAAATTTGTTGATGATGACTAGGAATGCATTAATATACTCTCCCAAGTAACTGTAATTTTATGTAGTATTTCATTTTTATTAGATAAGAGGCTCATAAAACAAGGTCCAATGCTGCACCTTTTGTCCTACATGTATTAGATGAATTCTTTATCTTTCTTTTTTTAATATTTATTTATTTATTTATTTATTTATTTATTTATTTATTTTTCAACGTTTATTTATTTTTGGGACAGAGAGAGACAGAGCATGAACGGGGGATGGGCAGAGAAAGAGGGAGACACAGAATCGGAAGCAGGCTCCAGGCTCTGAGCTGTCAGCACAGAGCCTGATGCGGGGCTCGAACTCAAGAACCGTGAAATCATGAGCTGAGCTGAAGTCGGATGCTCAACCGACTGAGCCACCCAGGCACCCCACTATCTGTTGAGTTCTTTTTTTTTTTTTTTTTTTAATTTTTCATTTTTGGGACAGAGAGAGACAGAGCATGAATGGGGGAGGGGCAGAGAGAGAGGGAGACACAGAATCGGAAACAGGCTCCAGGCTCCGAGCCATCAGCCCAGAGCCCGACGCGGGGCTCGAACTCACGGACCGCGAGATCATGACCTGGCTGAAGTCGGACGCTTAACCGACTGCGTCACCCAGGCACCCCTATCTTTCTTTTTTTTAATTGGGTATAATTTCTATACAATAAAATTTGCCTTTTTCTTTTTTTAATGTTTTATTGCTTATTAATTTTTTTATTTTAATTTTTTTAATTTATTTTTAAGACAGAGAGAGAGCATGAGTGGGGATGGGGCAGAGAGAGAGGGAGACACAGAATCCGAAGCAGGCTCCAGGCTCCAAGCTGTCAGCACAGAGCCCATCGCGGGGCATGAACCCACAAACCATGAGGTCATGACCTGAGCCAAAGTCGGGCGCTGAACCGACTGAGCCACCCAGGCGCCCCTTATTGTTTTATTTCTTTTTGAGAGAGAGCGTGAGCAAGAGAGGGGCAGGGACAGAGGGGGACAGAGGAGTCAAAGGGGGCTCTGCGCTGAGCACTGACAGCAGTGAGCCCAACGTGGGGCTTGAACTCATGAGCCGCAACATCATGCCCTGAGCCGAAGTCCGATGCTCTACCAACTGAGCCACCCAGGTGCCCCTAAAAATTCACCTTTTTTAAAAGTGTGCACTTTTCGTGAGTTTTGACGGATACATACACTCACCGCCAGCTCTTAGCAACTGTCTCTCATCCCTGTAGTTCTGCCTTTTCCAGATGTATTTATTTTTGAATGTTTAATATTTACAAATGTAAAATATTTCACAGTCCAAGCCTAAAGAAATGAAGCAACTGATAGCCCACATGTCCATCATCCCTAAGAAACACAGGTTAACAGTTTGCATTTTTCTTTCAGATGTGTTTCTTTTTGTTTAAAAATAAAACATTGCGAACACAGTTGTAGACCTCCCGCATCTCATCCAAGTTTCCGCCATGTTTTTATGTTTACTAATAACATGCAGATGTCTATAAATGTTATATAGTATGTTGTGTTTAAGCATTATACAATTAGACCCATGCTGTAATATCCTTTCGAAATATGATATCCCCATGAAACATAGTTCGGCTAGCCAGTCAATTCATTGTTAAGCGTTCGTAGTGTTTTACTGAGTGCACGTGTTCCTTAAATATTTATCCATTCACCAGTTGGTAGGTAGACATTTGGTATGTTTCCAGTTTTTCATGGTTGCAAACATGGTTGTAACAAAACTCTTTGTTTGTGTTTCCTCATGGAGATATGTTTCCCGGGGTGTATAGTCAGGAGAGTAATTACAGGGTTATAGGGTATATGTATATTCAACCTTGGCTGATAATCCTATACAGTTTTCTAAAGTGATTTTGCCAATTTTCACCCTCACTAGGGGAGGAAGGGGAGTAGATACCATCAGTCAAGACCCTCCCCAACATGTGGTTCTATCAACCTGTTAATTTACTGTTAAATCCCTGATGAATGTAAGGTGGTATCTGATTACTTCAATTTGCATTTCCCGGCCTACCAATGGGGTTGAATGTTTGTTTTCCATGTGTGTAATGGCCCCATGGAGCTTCTCTTTCAGAGACTGCCTACCATATCCTTTGCCCATTCTTCTCTTGGGTGTTTGCCTTTTTATTATTGATTCTAAGCTGTCCTTTATTTATCCCAAAGACTAATCTTGTTGATTATTTGTGTTGCAAATACTTTCTCCCAATCTGTGGCAACTCTGTATATGATACATGCTTTACATTTTAATATAGGCAAGATTACCAATCTTTTCCTTCTGACTTGTGTTTTTTGGGGCTTTATTCATGAAATATATATATATATATATATATATATATATATTATTTTAATTTTCTCCATAGGGCAAAAGGCTCCAGTAAAAATTCCTGATCTCATGCTACAATGTCCTTTGCTTCTTTGTAAGGTAGATTTGTAAGGTTGGATAAATAACGTAATAAATTTAGGGGCGCCTGAGTGGCTTAGTCGGTTAAGCGTCTGACTTTGGCTCAGGTCATGATCTCACAGTTTGTGAGTTTGAGCCCCACATCGGGCTCTGTGCTGACAGCTCAGAGCTTGGAGCCTGCTTCAGATTCTGTGTTTCCCTCTTTCTCTGCCCCTCTCCAGCTTGCACTCTGTCTCTGTCTCTCAAAAATAAATAAGCATTAAAAAAATGAAAATAAAATAAAAAATAATGTAATAAATTTATAAGGTTAAATAAATAAATAATGCTCAGCGGGGGAGAGGGGATGATTTTGTCTTCCCAGGGGAGATTTGGCAATGTCTGCTGACATTTTTGTTGTTCTTTCGTGGGTAGAAGCCAGGGATGCTATTCAGCACTACAGTGCATGGGCTAGCTACCCCGGCCCCCATCTAAGAATTCTCTGATAAGTTTCATAGTGCCCAGGTTGAGAAACTGAGTTTAGAAGGATCGCTTTGCTGTGTTCTCAGAAACCAGGAACCCTCAGGTGCAGAGCCCCACATGGAGGGACTTGGCATTGTGTCTGGGGCCGTCAGCACTGGGTCATTCTGTGTTGAACTTGGCAAATACACCCCAGCCAAGTGTGGTAAGTCTACTGCAGGAAACTTGACTGAATCTGCCAAACAACCTAATACGTGCTCGAATCATAATAGAAGGGGGAGGGGTGCTGCAGGACTTTTCCATCAGGTCTTACTGCCATGCTAATGGACCCTAACATGCATTATTTGTATTATGTGCTGGTTCAAAAGGCACAGCGTATTTTCTGGTCCCAGGCAAATTATGTTTACTTCATTGTTGATTAAAACAGTCATGCTCTCAATCTTGATACGGTGTCAGTGTGCCTGTTTCTTCCTTTATAAAATGACAGAGTTTGACAAGATGAGGGATTCTCAAGTGCCGGTCTGTGCAGGCTGCTTATGGCAGAATCACCTGAGAAGCTTTTGACACGTACAGGTTCCCAGGATAAACTCCTGGGGATTCGCAGGTGGGGTGGGACTCAGCAGTGTGAGCTTTTCTCGAAAATTCCCGAAGGATTCTAGTAAGTAGCTAACCATGCTTTTGAAGCCCTGGACCCAAAGAGTAACAGGATTTGTTCCATGTCACAGAGTCTGAATTAATGACTCTCATGTGCAAACAGCAACTTCTCCAAGACATGCACCGTCTTTGGCTCAGAGGGACATTTCTCATGCCCCAAGGGACTCCCTACAAGGCTCCCTCTGGGAGTCATAGTCAGTTGATCAAGCCACCAGGTATCCCTTGGCCAAAGATGGCTTCCACAGCCAAAGATGGCTTCCATAGGCAGCCTCCATTCATATTTGGATGCAAATGGGCACTCACAGATTCACTCGCCCATTCCTTCGGGGGCTGTATGACCCACAAATGTTTATTTGCTCCTGTCACGTGCCAGGCACTGTGCTAAGCACTGGGAATACAATGTTGACAAACACAGAGGCAATTTCCGCTCCCTTTGATCTGATAGTATCCCAGGTGGGGGTAATAATAAACACCACCAGACATACCTAATTACAGCTTAGGTGAGAATTAAGAAAGCCTGACCCTCACTGCGAGGCCGTGGAAGGAATCTCTGAGAAAGGAGCCTTAAGCTGAGATTTGAAAGACAATAATAACAGCTGTGTTGAGCGAGGACCATTACATGCCATATGCTGTTCTAGGCACTTTGTGGAAACCAAGGCATTTAATCCTAACACAGCACTCTGAGCTACATGCTGTTCTCATCCTCATTTACCGATGAAGGTGGGCTGCGAGGGGAGGGGAGGGACAGCTGGGAGCTGGAGTGGAACGGGGGCTTGGGGGCTAGAAAGACAGCACGTTCGCACTCGTGGAGGATCCTGGGAGGACTTCCGCGTTTCCTCAGCACTTGAAGGACCGTGAGGACCACGGACGTTTAAGGGAGAGCTCACAAACAGACCTGGCAACCCGGGGTTCCTTCAAATGTCCTTCTGTGCAGCTTTGCTCAGTCTCCCTGCATCTCCCCAGAAGGCCCCCTGGCGCCCTCCAGGTTCTACCGACATGCTCAGGGACTGCACAGATCTGGGCCAGAAACCACCGAGTCCTTTCCAGAGGTTGGCAGCCCATGATTTCCGGATCTGCGCTGGGAATGGGACGGACATGTGCACAGAGAGCTGGTAATTCTTCCTCCGGCATCAGATGAAGCTCATGGCCTCATAAAGCCTTCTGAGACAACGGAGGAGCCCCTGCTTGGGAAACGTCTTCAGTTACAGACCATGACGTCAGACAAACGTGCCTCAAGTCGCACAGCAAATCAGTGTCCCACGTGAGTAATCGAACCAAGTCTTATGAGGGAGCGTCTCATTCTGAATAGATGCCCCACGACTGTCTCTGCATTGGAAAGGCGAGCATAACCCATGATCTCACTCCCTAAAACCTCTAGGACAGATTTTGTAAGGGTCTATTTTACAAGAGACAGGAGCCGGTGAGGTGTTTAGGTATTCTATCCTTCATTGCCTGCTCTTGGGAATGTTGGAGAAATACCATTGAACTTAATTAGGAATGCTAATTACATTTTGAAAGTCCAAAAGGTTGTTTTGCATCCATCGTGGGCCCGAGGTACAGACGTTTGGTTGGTGAAGTCACTATTC